TAGTCAAAAAAGTGGAGTGTTTTTTGTTTTTTTTTTTTTTTTTGTCACCAGTGTTTTATGCAATAGCAACTTTTTGGTTGACTTCTGAGACCCAAATCTAGTTTTTTTTTTTTTTTTTTTTTGGTGCTTAGAGAGTGATTTTTAACCACAAGGATTTTTTTTTGTTTTGGTTTGTTTTGTTTTTTGAGACAGAGTCTCGCTCTGTTGCCCAGGCTGGATGGAGTGCAGGAGTGTGATCTTGACTCACTGCCAGCTCCGCCTCCTGGGTTCACACCATTCTCCTGCCTCAACCTCCCAAGTAGCTGAGACTACAGGCGTCTGCCACCTCGCCCAGCTAATTTTTTGTATTTTTAGTAGAGACAGGGTTTCACCGTGTTAACCAGGATGGTCTCGATCTCCTGACCTCATGATCCACCCGCCTTAGCCTCCCAACCACAAGGATTTTTATCTAAAGCTCATGAACCCCTCAGACAGGAGTCTCAAACTCTAGTGTGCAAAAAGCTCACTTGGGACACTTGCTCAAAAGTAATATTTCTGGGCTTCGTCCCATAGAGATACTGATTCATTAATTCTGGAGAAGATCCAGAAATTTGCATTTTTAATGCTACAGAAGATCCTAAACTGTACTGCCCTGTGAGAGCCAAAGATGGACTTCAGGTGGTTCTGTTTAGCCTTCACACTGTGACTACATGAATTGTATTCAATGAGAAGGTCTAGGAATCTTTAGATGACTTTCCTTAGTTTCTTAAAGGGGTCTGCAAAAATACCATGATAATGCTAGAAGCAGTGGTTTACAAGTGGAAGAGGGTACTGGTAAAATCATCCACACAACCAGCAACAAGAACCCACAGCAAAAAGTCTAACAATGAAAGGAAAATCTATAAAGCAGATACAAATACTCAACTTGTAGAGGAATCCAGAGCAGTGTCCCCCACACAGCTGTTTTTGAGAGTATCTCAGAAGTGAGCAGATATGTGTTGATAAACTGGTGTTCATTGGTCAAAAAGGTTTGAGAAACACTAAGTTTAGAAAGTTATTACTTTATTATGGAAGTAAATAGAGACTTTAATATGCTATTTAGCTTTGTGAATTACTTTAAGAAGAATTTAGTATGTAGTATTTCCCAAGTTTTTTTGATCATAGAACCCTTTTCATATAATCTAAAATGAAAGCAATTTCAGAAATACCCTTTAACAGAGGGACAAACAATAGTCCCTGAGTGTAGCATAGAAATAAATAACTCATTATAACTGTATCATGAAGAAAAATTTATATTGTTTTAAATACAGTAAATAATAAAGCAGAATATTTTATACTGCATTTTAGAAAAATTCTTATTAAAATTATCTATAAAGAAAAAACCCTCAACTATCTACTTATTATTTATGTGGACTTACTCATCTAGTTGATGGTAAATTAAGTAAAGACTTTCTCTAAAATGAAAATTTAATTTTATCTTTATAATATTTTGGGGATTTAGGAGAAATGCGTATTTCCTAAGAATCATAGAGCTCATCTTACAGCCAAACAATAGTTATTACGTCAGATATTTTACAGCAATGGTTGGCAGCATGCCAGACAGAGTTGCTTGTGTATAAACATGTATGTCCAAAACTTTGAAGCACCACAGTTCCATAGTGATTTAAATAAATAAATAAAGGCCAGGTTGACTTAGTGGGGGAAGGAGAACTCCTAGATTGATTGTATCCAAATAAAAGTTTTCAGAAGGGCGCGGTGGCTCACGCCTGTAATCCCAGCATTTTGGGAGGCAGAGGAGGGCCAGCCGGGGCAACATGGTGAAATCTCGTCTCTACTATAAACACAAAAATTAGCCGGGCATGGTGGTGGGCGTCTGTAATTCCAGCTACTCAGGAGGCTGAGGCAGGAGAATCGTTTGAACCCGGGAGGCAGAAGTTTCAGTGAGCCGAGATGGAGCCACTTTTTTTCTTTTCTTTTTCTTTTTTTTTTTTTTTTGGAGACAGGGTCCCATTCTGTGGCCTGGGTTGGAGTGCAGTGGCGCAATCTCGGCTGACTGCAGCTCCACTTCCCGGGCTCAGGTGATCCTCCCACCTCAGCCTCCTGAGTAGCTGGAACCATACAGGCTTGCGCCACTACGCCCAGCTAATTTTTGTTTGTTTGTTTGTTTTGGTATTTTTTGTAGAGATGAGGTTTGCCGTGTTGCCCAGGCTGGCAGATAACGTTTTCTGGAGAGGTGACTTAGAGAGGAGGAACAAACAAACAATATTGAAAAGTGCGGAAAGGAGATTAATTTAGCAAAGGAGAAGGTCAAAGGAATTTCTGCTGGGAGAAACTCTTTCCTGATTTTGTTAACAACGAAGAGTTTAAGGGACAGAGAAACATGTGCTTAGATAGATAGAAATCATGAGTTAAGGTGTGATGATTAGGACACTAGTCCTATGAGATACTGTGAGGTAAAATAAGTCAAATAAGTTTGGGAAATGCTACTTCGTCCTTTGTGTTTAATTTTGCTTTAATTGGCCTTTCACAAAATGAATTTATCACAGAATTATTTTACCCATAAATTAAGAACCCGTACAATACCCCTTGGGAGAACACTGAGCTGATAGTAATAGGAAATAAGGGCTACTAATTAATGGATCGCTACCATAATCATTGGTTCTTTGGGACAAAAAAAGATTAGATTTAGGTCATCTATTTTATTCTGTCCTCTTACATTATTTAGTTATAAAGATTCACTGAATTGAAAGAAGATTTACCTTTCACTATTGTTATATTCCTGGAATACAAGATTCTTCTAAATCCAGGTCATGAAAGTAAGACCTCTTCATGTAGAATCCTCAGACCTTGCATAATTGTCAGCAAGTAGCAAGCACTCTTATATAATTTTGACTCTTAAAGATTCTTCTTCGGGTGCTTCTTTGCTTACTTTATAAACATTCATAAGACTTCCAATTTGGAATTGAGCCAGATAAAGGCTTCTTAAATATGCTTAATTTCTAGTGAAGCTATTGAGTGCCCTTTCCTAATAAAGAATTAGGAAGGATTCTTAAAGCCTTTGAAAATTTAGTTTATAAACATTTTAGGTCCAAAAGGAAATTTAAGGTTTAGAAGGTTAAACTATCCACTCATCTACATGAGAAAAGCTTAAGATAAGTCAAATAGACCAAATGGTACCAACTAAATAAAACATAATATATTTATTCTGTTTTCATTTGGGGGCATAATTCTGGCAAAGCCTTAGTTGTATATTCTGCCTGTACATACTTGTATTCTCTAGTATGCCTATAGAAGAACAGTAGATGCGAGTTAGATTTTCATGTATATTGGGCTAATGTCAACTTAGAGACGAAACAGAGTTTTTGTATTTACTTGCAGATTTTTTAAAACCTTATTACTGTTTCAGAACAGTGCTAAATTTTACAGTCTAAGTTGGTAGACAGCTCTTTCTCATATTACCGGCAAAGAGACCGTGACATTTTTGGTCCTCAGTGAAAGACTATTATAGGACTACAAGTTTGATGCTAACATTTTAAAGTTTCACTGAAGTGAAGTGGATTAGCCATAAAATTGTTAGAGTTCTGGAATCTTCCTTCTACATCCATGTGATGAAGGTAATCTTTTTTTCCCATGGAATTGCCAGACCCTATACAGTTTTTGAATAGCACTTGTATTTTGTCTCCGAAGGCATTTTGTGCTAAGTTTGTAGGTTTACAAATTTTCCAATTTATAATTAAGCTTCAAGCTATTTCTTAAATATGTTGTAAGAAAAGGCATTAATAAAGAAAGGATTCTTTTAAATCCTTTAAAACTTGGTCAAAAAGACCATTTAGTGATGTAATCTAAAATGAAAGCAACAAATTGGAGTTAAGAACACGAAATAAGTGAATTATTCTCCATACTCTTAAAGAGTATAAAGGGATTTTACTATCATGTTAAAATGATAGTATGACTTTACTAGTAGCATAATTATAAGAGGGCAAAAAAAAATCCTTTAAGTTGTATTATTCTTATGCAAATAATAGATATCACAATTATTTAGACAGAAGTTATTTTTAAACATGACTTTGTGAATTATGTAGTCTATATTCAATAGCTACCTTAATCTGCTTTTTTTTAATGATAGGAGCAACACTTATAAGGTCTTAAAGAACGTATCTTTAATACAGTGTTTTGTAATATGTTTATTTTAATTTCAGACTTACAAAAAGGTTGCCAGGATAATACAAAGAATTCCTTTACATTCAAATTTCCCAAATGTTAATATCTGACCACATTTCGACTTTTGCTTTCTCTCTCTCTCCTTCTTTGAAAAATTTTATTTTTTCTTGAACTGAAAATAGTCTGCAGACACTCTTACGTATTTCAGTGTGTATTTCCTAAAAACAAAGACATTCTCTTGCAAAACCACAATACAGCTATATAAATTGGGAAGTTTAAGTCATATAGTAATAGCATTGGATAGTAGACTTCAGTCAGATTTCACCAAATTATCCCACGAATGTCTTTTATATCCAAAAATGCTGATTATGTATTAATTTCAGTTTTACTTAATGTCTATTTAGACTCCTTTAGACTAAGTCATTTCCTGGCTTTTGTACTTCCTCACATGGCACTTTTGAAAAGTGCAGACCAGTTATTTTGTAGACTGTCCCTCAATTTGGGTTTGTGTAATATTTCCTTGTCATTAGGTTTAAGTTATATGCCAGACTAAAAAAAAAAAAAAAGCAGAATTGCATAAGATGTGATTTTACAAGAAATCAAATTTCTATTTATAACTCTGAGAATCAATCTAATCATTTAATTGCTATATTTGCCTCAAACAGAATATTCATCTCCAGCTTCCCAGAAGAAAAGATACTCCTAGGAGATTTTATATGTATTTCTTAATGAACTAACTTGGTTTAATTATGGAGGAACTTGTTAGTTTTTAGATGGTTTATGGAATCACACAGATCGTTCTAATATTTACTAAGAAGATAAATAAAAGGTATGACAGTCTTGATCTTTTCTTTTCACAGTTACTCCTGAATGCCCACAGAAAGGAAGAAACTTCTCTCTCCCTTTAGACAAAGTCGAATTCTTATCGCAGCTCATAAAATCCTTTATGAAACTGGAAAAAGGTGTTCAAGAATTGTTTGAAGAAATACTTTTATCACTCAAGATAACCAGAAATACTTCAGGTAATATCCTCTTTTGTTTAAATTTGTAAATCTATAATTTCTCTGTGTTTTTGCTTCCTGCTGCTTTGAATGAAAACGATTACTTGAAAAAAAAACACGTGAAAGAATTCTTAATAAGCATTCAGTATAATGCACACCATGCATTATATATAAAAATGCACACATTTTTATCCTTCGTGCTTGGCAAGTTTCTTAATTCTAACTGACAAAGCATCATACGTCACTTCTGGATGATTTTTAGCTAAAATTAGATCAATTTTTCTTTTCAAAGAAACACAACTAGCATTTGGAAAGAATAAGCAGACTGGGTGGTCTAGTATCTTTTCTTTTGCTCCTAGGACCCAGATGATCTTGAGCAGAACAGTTAGTCTCCTTAGACATGAATTTTCTCATCTTCAAAATAATGATATAGAGCTACATTAATTTTCTCTTTGTTTTCTTTCAGGATTAGATGCTTCAGATTTCAATATGTTATAATGTTATGTAGGGTTGTGAGAATTAAATGACAGTGAAAATAAAATACCTAAGGGAATGTCTAGTATATCATAAATGCTCAATAAATGTGAGTTGTTAAAATAGTAATTATGATTATGGAATATGTTGTTTTTAGTCTTAACAAAAATCCCTTTGAAAGAAGCCATGCCATGTGTACGGAATAATATTAACATTAAAGGTAAAATTCAAAGGCATAATGGATGAAGTGTCTTCTCTGTTATCATATCTATATTTATAAAAATTTTCATTTTCCTCAGGATGAAATATACAAAGTTCTCCTTTACATGATGCCATATGCCATTCTAGGGAGTGTAAATATATATATTTGCTGCATCTGCAAAAAAAAGTGAAGGAAGCAAGTGATTAACAATTAGTCTGAAAAATTTAATACCCAAAACCGATCTCTTGGTAAAATTATTGTCACTCAACATGTTTACTCTTGTATTCCTTTACTTACTTTGCCCATGTAAATAATGTCAGAAAAGTTATAGGGTTGGAAATTTTGTTTTACATTAAGCATAGTTTACTGGCCTTCTTTGTTTCGGGTGAAATTTAGGTAACACTGTTGTATTATAAAATAAATAACATAGATTACTTTTTCAAAGTTGGAGATAATTTGAAGAAAAAATAAAAATGGACTATAGATTTCTGAAGCCAACCCCCCCCCAAAAAAAAACCAAGGGGAAAATAATAAAAATACAAGTCAGAAAATATGAGTATTAATTAAAATAGAGAATGAAAAAGTAGATTTCATTAGGAGAGAATGTGACCCTTAAAACATCTTTTAGATAGAGTTTGACTGTGAGGTCAAACAGAGATCTGAATAGAGAAATATGATATCCTCATTATTGACTGACATATTAGTTCCTGGAACAGTTGACATTGGAGTTGGTGCTCATCCACTATGCCTGGCTAAGATTTATCATCTGTCATCTATATCTCTAACAGATCTTTTCTGAGGTATGGATCAAGAAACAGAATGAACTTCAAAACATCTAGGCTTCTCCCCATTTTGAATGATCTTATGTTAGTCCTAGGCTAGACCCTTGGGAATTAAGTCAGTTTTGTGAACTTTATTCTTCTTAAAGTCAGCATAAATTCAAAATTAGAATTGTGTTAGGAGGTATTATAAAGATATAACACTGAAATGGCCAAGAATTGAAGCACAGATTTAGCATGCTGATTTTAGAGAAAAGAAGAACAATTTTGAAAACGGTGATTCAACTCCATTAGATTAATATCAGGCAATGTGGAAACTTGCAAATGCTGGATGTTTGAGAGCAATGGTTACCATTCTTGAATAAAGTCAACAGAGCAAATATGTCATTTGTCACAATATACTGTTGTAAATATGCCATCTTATAAGCAGTAAGGCGGATAAAAGCAACTTCAATATCGTGTTAATAATAGTGGACCATGTGAACACATTTGTGGATTATCAAACACAGGATGTAGAAGGAATTTCAAGGGGCAAGTATAAGAAGTGTCTAAGTACTAGAACGTCTCCTTGTGATATATGTAGTCTTCTTTGTTGAAATTCATATTTTTTTGGTCGCAAAGCCAAGATTGATTTAATCTGACACAGCTTTATGTAAATGGATTCCTGAGAAGAATGATCTTGAGGGAAATTGTCAAGAAAAATCTTAAATGTTTTATTCAGTGTATCCAAGTTAATCAATTCTTATCAAAAGCACTGGTTTCTTAAATCAGGAAGGAAAAGACTCCTTGAAATGGATGATTAAGGAAGCCAACTATATCTTAACTATTGGGTATTTCCCAATAGTTTTGCTTAGAAATCTTGTAAGGAAGAGAATGGGGGGGGGGGGGGGGAAAGAGCGGAAGTCATTTGGTTTCCTGTGTGTTTATTTTGATTGGAGCATATTTTGCTAATAAAGATCTTGGAAAGAGTTGCCTATGATGTCTATGTAACCCAAACATATGAACAGATGAAAAGTGAGTTTTTTTTTTCATTGTGCACATTTTTAAAAAATGTCCAGACACTTAACATCACATAGAGAAACTATAAAAATGATTAACCAAATATTTTACTTTTTACTTTGATGTTTACTATTATATTGTAGACTTAGCCAAATTGGCTGTTCTCTCACTAATTTGATTGTAGACAAGAGATTTTGTAGAGATACAATAAATATTTTCTGAGAAAGAAAAGATATTTTGTCATTATTTGCTTTTGTTTGGTCATGATTTGATGGTTTTCTATTTTTGTCACTTCAAAAAATGATAGGACATTATTTGACTGCTGTGGTGCCTTACTGTATTTGGTGATGATATCTTATGGAGTGGCTGTGGATTTGATTTATGGGGCATTTCTAATGCTTCTGTGGAATAAAGTTGTTCTTTGGGCAATTCCTCAATTTTTCCAAAGGTGGCATCTGAGATTTATCTAAACCAGGAGGCTTCTTGGCCCTCATTTTTCTTTAGCCCCAGCAATGACAAAGAGCAATGGCTGCTTCAATTGGATGTAAGAAGAACACTTAGGGTTTGTCTCAGAAGAATCAAAGATTTCAGATCTTCTGAAAGATTGTTTGTACTCTTAGGGGGTCTTAAGAGGGGTCAAATGGCTTCTAAGAGTTCCTTAGCTAGATGGTTAAGGGATTGTATTAGGGAGGCGTATGTAGTTAAGGTAAAGAGGCTCCTAGGGTTTGTAAAGCTCATTACACTAGGACTTTAGCTGTTTCTTGGGCAGAGAGGTCGAAGGCTTCCACATTGGAAATTTGCAAGGTGGCCACCTGGGTTTCTCTTCATACTTTTTCATGGTATTATCTCTTGGATGTAGTCTCTTCTACAGATTCAGCTTTTGGTGGGAGGTTGCTTGTGAGCCAGAAAAAGAACAGTGAAGAAAAGAAAGACTTGTAGTTCCCACTTAGAGCTGCCAACAAGGCAAGTTGCTTTGTAGTGCACACAATGGGAACCTATGAAGACCAATTTGGGTGTGAAAGTGGATGTCACAGGGAAGTACTGCCAACCTCTACTCTCTGTGAAAGAAAGCGGCAGTGTAGAAACTAACCAGAAGTGTAAAATGAACCACAGAGAACTCTGTAGGGGAAGCTGTTGAGCAGCTGGCATTCTTGTGACCCTCTGCACTCTTCTGAGGTTCTTAATCTAGGCATGCTTTTAAAGAAACCAGTATTGACTGCATGCAAATAACTATATTTTACAGTGATGAGCCGAAAGTGGGCTACCTTCTCTAGACAATGATAATAAGTATATAGATTTTAAATACATTTTTAAAATATATGAAACAATTCATCAAATGTTTAGAGTTCATAGAGTTTTACATTGCCAAATTTCAAAATTGACCATTTTGAATTCCAAACAAATGTAAAAATGCCACAATTTGTTAAATCCAGAAGATATCATATTAGTGTAGATCCCATGTTAGTAATCCTACCTAAAGATGATAACTTTTGCTTCCCTGTACAGAATTAAGTTTTTTTAAAACCATTTTAATTTGGGGCAGGGGGATTATATTTTAAAGGCTATCATAATTGCTTGATAATTCATTTTCTATATCTTACCATAGAATTGCTCACCAGCAAGAGAAGTCTGGAAAGTTTCTTTTTTTCCTTAGTCATCTTGAATATAGGCAGATGGTTTGTATAAACATCTGAGCACATTACTTTGAGTGAATAAACATAATGTATTTGGAAGTGAAATGATAAAAACAAGATAATTAACTTTTTCTGTAAGTCTTAAACTCTAGCTACACAATAGCAGACAGTTACTTCCAGAAACAGATCTCCAAAGCTTATATTTCAATCTAGTATTATTTTTCCAGAGTAAATACCTTTTACATGAGCTATCTATAGAAAAGTAAAGTGACGTTAAGAATCCAACTGTTGTCCCTTCTTGTCATTAACAACTTGATCTTTATTGTTTTTTCTTTTTTAAAAAACAGAACTTTTGAATGGGATGAAAGAGTAACTACTTCATATATATTGCCATGTTAAAAATAACTCAAAATCTTATCATACTATGTAAATGTACTCTTTTATAACAATTTAGAAAATGTAGAAACACCTCGTTATTTCTACTAGAGGAATAGTTTTCCATTGGTGCATAATTTAAGCAGTTATTCATTGATGGACAGTTAGGATTTTTTTCCCTCTTCATTTGCTACCACAAAACATGATATGGCAAATTTCCTTAACTATTTCTTATATGTACACAACTATATCTGGATGGTAAATTTCAAAAGTAGAATTGCTAAATAAATAGGCATGATCATAAAGAGGATGAAAAGATAAGCCATGAACTAAGAAAAAACTATTTGCAAAACACATATATGATAAAGAACTTGTATCCAAAGTATACAAAGAACTCTTAAAATTCAACAAGAAAACAAACAACCCAATTTAATAATTCATAAAAGATCTGAACAGACACCTCACCAAAGAGGATATACAGATGGCAAATAAGCATATGAAAAGATGCTCAACATCATGTCATTAGGAAAATGCAAATTAAAACAAGATGACACTACACACCTATTAGAATGGCTAAAATCCAAAACACGTACAACACCAAATTCTGGCAAGGATGTAGAACAACTCTCATTCATTGCTGTTAGGAATGCAAAATGGTACAGGCTCTTTTGAAGACAGTTTGGCAGTATCTTACAAAGCTAAACATAGTTTTACCATACAATCCAGCAATTGCACTCATAGGGATTTATCCAAATGAGTTGAAAACTTACGTCCGTATAAAAACCTGCACAGGAATGTTTATAGCAGCTTTATTCCTAACTGCCAAAACCTGGAAGCAGCTAAAATGTTCTTCATTAGGTAAATGTATAAACAAACTGTGGTATATCAATACAATGAAATACTATTCATCGATAAAAAGAAATGAGATGTCAAGCCATGAAAAGACATGGAGGAACCTTAAATGCATATCACTAAGCAAAAGAAGCCAATGTGAAAAGGCTACATACGGTATGATTCCAACTATATCACATTTTGAAAAAGGCAAAACTATAAAGACAGTAAGCAGATTAGTGGGTACCAGGGTGAGGGTATGGGAAGGAGGGATGGATAAATGGTGTAAAGGGGATTTTTAAAGCATGGAAACTATTCTGTGTGACAGAGTAATGGGGGGTACATGACATTATACATTTGGCAAAACCCATAGAATTGCACAACACAAAGAGTGAACTATAATGTAAACTGTGGACTTAGTTAATAATATTTTTACATTTGTTCATCAGCTGTCACAAATATACCATATATTGCAAGATGTTAACAGTAGAGGAAACTGAGGGCAGGGAGGAAGTATATGAGAACTTTCTGTACTTTCTGCTCAATTTTTTTGTAAACTGAAAACTTCGCTAAAAAATAAACTATTAATTTTCAGAAAGTGGACATTTTGAGAAAGATTGGCAAGTCAGCTTGTCATATCTACTTTGACAGTTGATGGTATTTTTGTTGTGCAGACTTACTTTATGGTTTCTGTATTTTGTGTCCTGAAAGGTCTTCTCTATGTGGATCTTTTTAAAAAAAATTCCATATTTTCTTTTAATGGGCTTATAGTTTCATTTTTCTTCATTTAAAATTTTTTGACTAATTTGGATTTTATTTCAATTAGAAGTGATCCTTATTTGTAACACCGTCTTTTTGAAAATACATCATAAAATGCAAGCCATAAAAAAGCATTTTAAGTTAAATGGTATAACACTGTTTGAGTCTAAAACCTTCTCTATGTTGTGATGTGTCTTGAGAAATGGAACAGAATTCTTAAACTGCAGTCCATGGGCCCATTGGATTAATTAATGAGATTTACAAGAGGGCCTGGGAATCCCCAATAGTGTGTGTGTGTCTGTGTGTGTGTGTGTGTGTGTGTGTAATGCACATGTGCCTGCCATACAGTCATATTATGCATTTTTGCATGTAGTGTTCTGTCACTTTAATCATGTTCTAAGAGTGTTCATTAATCCAAAGATGATTAAGAAATACCAGAGTTGATGAAAACTTTTCCTCAGAATATATAAACTCTGATAAAATTTCCCAAAATAATGATGTTAGTGCCAACCAAATGGATTTTTTACCTTTAATACACTTTATGCCCAAGATGGTTGAAATTAACATCAGAACAAAACGCTTTTATTTCATCAATTGTACTCCTTAGAAATCAATGACAATTAAGTTCATAGAACCACATTTAGGAAAAGAAAACATGCATCTACTAGATGACTCTATTGGTCAAAGTCCCTACTGATAAAGTCAGTTAGATTTTGAAATTTGCTTTGCCCAGGCATAAAGAAATTGATTCTTGGTAAATCGTGGGGAAAAAAAAGAAAAGTTAGATCATAACATAGAATTCATCATCATATACCATGTCTAAGCCAAAAAAAGGGTAAACATTAAATTATTCATATTGAATCAAATTATCATTAATCTAATCTTAATGCAAAAGTAGAAAGATTTATTTTTGGAGTAGTTATTTATTACATTTTTATAGATCAGATTTTTTTCCCCATAGAAAAGAGTTGCTTAATTGTAAAAAAAGAGTTTCTTAATTGTAAAAAACAAAAGTTGTGGAAATATTTCCATTTTTGGAGCTAGGAATTTTTTTTCTTTTCTTTTGAGACGGAGTCTCGCTCTGTCGCCCAGGTTGGGGTGCAGTGGCTGGATCTCAGCTCACTGCAAGCTCCGCCTCGCTAGGGATTATTTTATGCCTGTCTCAGAGTTTGTGTTTTTTAAATGAATCATTGATATGCTTAAGGGTATAATTTTTCTTGTTATGCTGATGTTCATCTATGTATTTTTCTTCTTGGTTTGAAGTTTACATGCTAGGAAATACCAACAGTTTTAAAATGTAGTACTTTAGAATTAACTTTTTAAATGAACAAGGAAATAATATTTATTTTGTCCTCTTACATTATCAACATGAAAATAAATTAATGACAAAAATATTTATTTTGAAGATTATATGTTTATGTACATCAAACAGGAATGTAATTGGGATGTAGATTTCATCAAGTTGTATATGGGAAAAGGACTCTATCTATCTTGATTCTATCATTATTGTAATGGTGACATCAGCCTGCATCTTTCTGACTGTATTCTCTATATATTATTATTTGTGGATGTGTATATGTATGTATGTACTGTGGATAGAGCTTTTCTACCAATTAATATTTACCTGAATTTATAAATCACATCTAATATGCCTTTTAAACAATATATATTAGTGTGTTTGTTTTCTTTTCTATTGCTTAGGAATGTTGGAGAAATCCAATAGAGAACTTGTAATAGAAAAACCTAGAGCAAACGAAACCAATATTCCTTCAGAGCAATTGCTACCAGGAAAAGAGGTAAGTGAAGGAAAAAAAAAGTGTTTTATAATTCACATATAAAATCATCATCAGATGCCTGTGAATCCATTATGAAGCAAAATGTCTTGAGTTTTACCCTTTGCTACAAAAAATAATTTTTCAATTTTGGATTGAAAATTGGCATATAAGTTTTCGATGAAAATTCAATTTAGTGGGGATGCTGTCTTCTTGTAAAATCTATTCCATGGGAGGAATAGAGAGATGGAAGTCAAGAGATCTTTTGTTCTTATCCTGACTCAGAGTCTGCACTTAGAGGATGTAGGCTATAGATAATTGTTGAAACGTGAGCAAATGGAGATTAAAAAGGAAAAGGAAACAATCATCTGAACTGGCCTCATATTTATGATCCCCATCCTGTGATTGTTCCCAAAACCTGTTTTCTTTGCTCTGCTCTAGATTGCAGAGAATTACACATTCCAGGCCCCTTTGCTTTCAGATTCTGGGATGGGTTAGTCAATTAAAGGCATTGATGAAAGACCTCATGGAAGGCATTGACGGAGGGTAGGAGTTGCAGAGAAACCAGAGCGTTTCTTCTCCTCTCTCTGTCTTAAGGAGCATTTCTGATAATGGCTGTGACACCTTTATATCCACCCTGAGCCCTGCTCCTACCATGCAGCCTGCCCTGCATGACTTCAGTTCCACCTGGCAGGTCTGCTTGGGCTTTAGCTTCGACTGGTAGCCAGGAGCTACTCTCCCATAACTTAGTCCCTTTTCTTCATTCCTCCAGCCCTAGGGGTGGTTGTGGCCTCCTGCTCTATTAATATCTGGCCTGCTTCACAGTCCATATTTGACTTCTCAAATCTTCCATCATGTAGGTAACCAAAACCCTACATTAAAATTCTTCCTTTTGAAAAATCTTGAGTGGTTTCTGTTTTTCAAATGGACCCTTACTGATACACTAGGTAAATATTTAAAGAGACAAAACAACATATAGTTTTAACAGTTTTGGCCTATAAAGCAACAGAAATAATTGGGAAAATCCTAAGTTATATATTATACTTTAACCAAAAATCAAAATCAGTACTAAGAAATTAGCAGTAAATAATAGAAATAGAGATTCAACAGATTATCTACTTTTTGCATAGAAGAGAAAACCATGTGATTCTCTTTTTTCTTGGAACAACTAGTAAGTGTTCTCTAGTCTAAGTGGAATATGTATGATGCCAAATATCAGATGAGAAGAGTAGAAGTAAGCAAACTATATTTCATAAGAACAAATAAACTATTGGAGGTTTGAATAAGTAAAGGTTTTCAGTTTTCTTTTTTTTTTTTTCTTTTTGAGACATAGTATCATTCTGTCACCTATGCTGGAGTGAAGTGGCACAATCTCAGCTCACTGCAATCTCTGCCTCCCAAGTTCAAGTGATTCTCTTGTCTCACCCTCCCAAGTAGCTGGGATTACAGGCGCCCACAACAACGCCCAGCTAATTTTTTATATTTTCAGTAGAGATAAGGTTTCATCATGTTGGCCAGGTTGGTCTCGAACTCCTGACCTCAGGTGATCTGCCTGCCTCGGCCTCCCAAAGTGCTGGGATTATAGTCGTGAGCCATCATGCCCGGCTTCAGTTTTCTTTTTAAGAGCAGCTGTTAATATAACTTGTTTTTCTATATTTTGAAAAGAGAATTCAGATAGGCCAACATATTATAATTACATATACATTATCATGAGCAAAGGTAACTTTTACTGCACAAAAAACTTTTAAAAATTTAATGCAGCCATGACAATTAATAACATTTCCACCAGGACATATTTGCTTGAATGAATAAATGAATGACTTTAGTAAATAGACATGCCGTGATGGGGAAAACAAAAATCAGACATTTTTTGTTTGAATTTTCATGGAGGTAGTTTTATTTTTACATTTTTTTCATAAATGTGTCCCAAGGAATTACTGTTATAGCACAGGGCTATACCTATGCCACTTCCAAGTTCTCTTATAAGAAAGAAGATTGTATCAGTTGAGTAGATTCAATTTTTGATTAATTTTATTTTTTTTGAGATGGAGTCTCGCTCTGTCGCCCAGGCTGGAGTGCAGTGGCATGATCTCGGCTCACTGCAACCTCCACCTCCCAGGTTCAAGCGATTTTCCTGTCTCAGCCTCCCAAGTAGCTGGGACTACAGGCGCCCGCCACCACGCCTGGCTAATTTTTGTATTTTTAGTAGAGATGGGGTTTCACCGTGTTAGCCAGGATGGTCTCCATCTCCTGACTGCAAGTGATCTGCTTGCCTCAGCCTCCCAAAGTGCTGGGATTACTGGCATAAGCCACCATGCCCGGCCCATTTTTGATGAATTTTATGCAAATATAAGATAAGAGAGATGTGTTTTAGGCCCTCTGATGCTTGAGATCCAAATAATCTTCAGAAAGTTCCATTACAATTCAGTTATGAGTGTAATGAGAACAAGAGCCATGTTTCTGATTAGAGTCATGGAATCATACAATTTTAGCTCTAAAAAAGGAATCACCTTTGTTACTTTGTACAGTATGTGTCAGAAAAAATTATTGCTGAATAGGTTGTATATATAAGAAAATTAGGCTTATGATCATAATTTTAGCAATTTTAAAATAAAAGGGACCATACAAATCATACAATTTGACTCTCTTGTTTTTCTACCAAAAAAACCCCTGAGATCAAGAAAAATAAGTGATTCAGTCAGGGACATGGAGCTCAGGGTTTTCTGAAGTTGGGGTAGGTGGCACATTACTATAAACAGAGTTACATTAAAATAAGGAAAGTTTAATTTTAAGCATAGGTTCAGCCTACTACCCATAATGCTTTTGAACTTTAGAGAATGCTAGGAGACCTGGAGGAAATATACATTCATAAATATATTGCCTTATGAGTCATAGACCAAAGCAAAAAAGAAAACATCAACCCCTCAACTGTACCTCAACCGCTTCTACTCCCTTCCAAGTACCCCCCACCAGCACAACAGAACAGTGTAGATTCTTTTAATTCTTCATTCTTGGAACAAAAGTAGTGCTGCTTATGACTTTGCAGCTGGAGAGACTAAAATTCTGAGCAAGTAAAAATCTAGAAAGTGCAGTGGTGTGTTTTCTCTGAAAAATTTATTTCTTATTGCTATTTTTTGGCTTGTCTGGAGTTCTATGAGTGAAAAAGAAATAAAAAGTTGAATATTAAATGCTGTCTTATGTTGCAATACTTGTTAACAATAAACTATAAAAAGACTATAAAAATCTAATTTAGACTTTATTAAATATATTGAATTTAAAGGTTGTTTTATGTGATAAATAGTAACTGTAGCTTTCTGTTCTTGTAAAGATGGCTTTATTGAACTATATTTAAGAGATTAAATTTTTTAAAAAGTTTTTTATTAAATCCACTGATGAATTAAAATGAAATGTCAGTATATTACTGTGTGTAAAGAATGCACATGTTTTTGTATATTGCTTTATTCACTAGGTAATATTTTTTATGTTGTAAGAATGGCTTTTACAGTATATCAAAGAATACATTCAACATGTTGAATGAAAGTAATAATTTTATATCTATAACAATAGAAACATTTGTTGCTGAGTTAAGATTAACGTGACTTCATATACATTTATATTTCAGGCTACCTTACTAGATTTTGGCTGGAGAAGTGCATTTAAAGAAGTGTCTCTTCCCATGGCGCACTGCATAGTAACTGAAATTGAAGGTTTTTCCACAAAAATTCTCCAACAGGAACAGAATGAAAGGTCTTCAGCTGTGAGCTATGCTATGAACCTTGTAAATGTCCAGCAAGTTTGGCAAGACAGCCATATGTTTCCTGAGGAGGAACAACCAAAGAAAATTGGAAAAGCAAGTATATAAAATCCTTTCAAACTGATGACTGACATGATGGGATTTATTTTAGTATAAAGCATTGCAAAAAGAACCTGTAGATCAAATGGTGGAGTCCCTTGGCAAATACTTGGTACTTGACCCAGTACCAGTTTTCTTCAGTGGTATCCATGGGCCACTGCTGCCTAAAAGGACTTACACCTGATGCTAACTTGTTGCTCCATGAATCTAAGGCAACCAAAAAGCGGCCTCTGTGACTTCATGGGGAGCTGGGAAACCCTGGGAAAACCACCTGTCTTGATTATACGTTTGAATGACTCCAGGAAAATTTAGGAGGTTGAAGGAAGTACTGTCTTTTCTAGCTTTGGGCACTTAAAAATATCTTCATTAACACCTTAATGAGCTTTTCATCTCATTAGTATCAGTCTTACATCTCCATATGTGCTTTGAAAGTCACAGAACATACTGAGAAAATAGGAGGTAAATACAGTCACTTGGCATTAAGTCCAGAATGAGTTCAGCAACCTGTGATTGGGATATTCCTTTTTTTTTTTGAGACGGAGTCTCGCTCTGTCGCCCAGGCTGGAGTGCAGTGGTGCGATCCAGGCTCACTGCAAGCTCCGCCTCCCGGGTTCACACCATTCTCCTGCCTCAGCCTCCCGAGTAGCTGGGGCTACAGGTGCCCGCCACCACGCCCAGCTAATTTTTTTTTTTTTGTATTTTTAGTAGAGACGGGGTTTCACCGTGTTAGCCAGGATGGTCTCTATCTCCTGACCTTGTGATCGGCCCACCTGGGCCTCCCAAGGTGCTGGGATTACAGGCGTGAGCCTCCGCGCCCGGCCTATTGGGATATTCTTAAAAGAATTTTTGAAGATGACCTCCTTATTCTGCCACTTCACCCTAAGGCTCCAAAACAAGGAGTTCCCTAGAGTCCCTAGGGAACTCTGTTGACTGATCTCATGTGGAGACAGGCTTTACTTTTCCATTCATCACACCTCCCTTCTGCCATTAAGAAAGAGAAGATACATAATAAATAGTGAAAGGCTAGACTCATCACTTCTAAAAGTTGCTGACACCCTACCAATAAGAAGATGCTACATGAAACTGTTTCTGATTATTCTAGAGTATTTAAATTACACTGACATTTATATGTGGCATTTAATTTGAAAAAAAAAAAAAAAACCCTTTATGGCAATTTAGCAAAAGAAAATTAGAATAAGTTTAAAAAATAATGCAAACGTTAATATCAAGGATACATATTTTCTGAGTACTACTAACTACAGATAAAGGTACTGTCATGTATAGCTGGTTCATGAGTTTTTCATAATGTCTGTCTGGTAAGCATAAGGTTTGAAGGTTATATAGAGAGAAGCATTGTTTTGGTATTTCCTTATTTGACATAAAACATTTAACTTTCTACAACTGAGAAATCGATTGTTACAAAGCTGTGTCATTATATTTATGTTTGATGCCAAATTCATTATTTAGGAATTTGGCTCCACTGTCCATAAATTACTTGGTGCTGTCAGAATACAAATAACTCAGTGCCACATTTATTTCTCCCTAGTTTTGTTCTGACATCATGGAAAAACTTGACACCGTGCTTCCACTGGCTCTGGCATGCAGAGATGATTCTTTTCCGGAAATTAGAGCAAACTTGGTGGAGGCCTGTTGTAAAGTGGCAACAGCTGTCCTGCAGAGACTGCAAGAGAGAGCCAAGGAGGTTCCTTCCAAAGCACCCCTGAAAAACCTGCACACATACCTCTCCACGGCAGTGTATGTCTTCCAGCATTTCAAGCGATATGATAATTTGATGAAGGAAATTACTAAAAAGTGAGTGTTGTTTAAATTAAGTTGATGGCCATGTTTGAAGAAACGTGTAATCTTTGGATATCACAGGAATGAAATTTTGGTAATAAGATTTGAGAAAGAGAAAGTAATAATTAACATGGTGAATTATTTTCATTTGTCTTAACTAGGAAATATCAAAAAGGTGGAGCATGGGAGATATTAAACTAGATACGTAGATAGTAAGAAAGGTACTCTCTCTAAAGCCACACTCAAAAGACCCATGCATTTTCTGCACCCTAACCCAGCGCAACTATTTTCTGCATGTTGTTATTACATGAATGAACACACCCTTTTGTTTTGTAAGGTGCATTATACTGACCACACTGAAAAGGAAAAATAAACTTGTTGTCTCATGGAGTGGACTTAGAAAATAAATTCATTGTAATCTATTCTAATGATCAATGTAAACATATTTCAGGACAGCCATTTAGTAATAAAGTACAATATTTGAAGAGGAAGCATCTGGCAGTCTGATTTTCATGTATTTGTAGTCTAAAACTACAGTATGTTTTCTGTATAGAGAGAAAAATGACCACAGGTATTAATTATCACATGGCCTTTCTTGTTGCCCTTACACTGTCTAGATATAACATGGCTGCTTGCAAAAGAAATATGTAGACGTAGCAGTCCTGTGTGACCCCAAGAATCTATTCTATATTCTTTATCCAGCCTTTACAGTCCATTACTTATGAAAGAAAGCAGTGTAATATTCATAGCTAAAGATAAAAGTAGAATAAATTTGGCTTGATGTAGGGTATAACTGATATTTCTTTAATTCTCATAAGTAGTCAGATGTTGTGATTCAGGCTTGAATTTATAAACAAAATGTGCCAGAAATCATTTTATTTAATATTTCTGTAGAATTTTAAAAAACAGTTTATGAGATAATTGATATCTACAAAATTACAATTTTTAAAAATAAAGACTGTGTTTGTGGTACATTTGATAGCTTTATAAAAGTTGGTTCTGACAAGTGCATGTTGTTCTCTAGTAATAACAATAACCTAATGTCTAAATAATGCACTGATCTCTAATAATAGGCTTACAAAGAATACTTTCATTTTTGAATGATGTATTGACAATACAGTTTGTCTCAAGTTGAAGTGCATATTTGTAGAACAGCAGATGTACATTTTCAAAGGGCTTGCGAAACAAAGACCAGCCTTTTTTTTTTTTTTTTTTTTTTTTTCCCTTTTTGGAAAGTGAATGTGGATGCAGACTTCAGCATTAAGAGGAAATGAATGATTGATATCTAATAATCAAAACCATTTGTAGTACTGGAGATTGTTATCTCCTACTGCACAGGCCTTAAATCTCTGTCTCTTTGATCATTCTCTCTGAACAGACCCATATTCCTGGTGCCTGTCCAAAGATATCAGGAATTCATCAACACTCTACAGTTTCAAGTTACGAACTACTGCGTCAGAGTTTGTGCTACAAGCATTTTACAGGATGCTGAGAGCCACCACTGGGATGACTACAAAGCTTTTTATGAGGTGTGAAGTTAAGTTTACTATCCCTCCTTTTTACACAAATATGTTTTACAGCCTACCTGCTTTCTGGCTAATTAGAAACATGAGCTTGGCATTACTGATACACGAAGACTGTTAGGATAATATTTTTAAAATATTGAATTCATACTTAGGAAAAACACTGTTTTTAAAAACCTGAAATAAATTAGACATCAGAACTCTCCTTCTGCTTAAAAGTAAAAATAACTTAATTTGAGCTGCAATGTTGTGCCGTATAGTCGGAATATAATGGGACACGATGAAAACTCAAAGAGATAACAATGCCAAAATGCTACAACCTTGTATTTTTTCCAAAGGGACCAGTTAGTTATGGATATCCTTGCATTTTTTTTCTTGTTATACATTTCCATATGTGTTTGATAAATACCTTTTATTAAGCAGCTTTATTCTTCGTACTTATTTTTTTCCTTCTCATTGTATGTTCTTATGAGTATGCTTTAAAACCCATCTGAGGCCGGGCGCAGTGCTCACGCCTGTAATCCCAGCACTTTGGGAGGGTGAGGCGGGCGGATCACTTGAGGTCAGGGGTTTGAGACCAGCCTGGCTAACATGGTGAAACCCCATCTCTAGTAAAAACACAAAAAATTAGCTGGGTGTGGTGATACATGCCTGTCTGTAATTACAGCTACTCAGGAGGCTGAGGCAGGAGAATGACTTGAACCCGGGAGGCGGAGGTTGCAATGAGCTGAGATCTAGCCACTGCACTCCAGCCTGGGTGACAGAGCTAGACTCTATCTCAAAAAAAAAAAAAAAAAAAAAAAAAAAAAAAAAGACCCATCTGATCAGTTATAGCTTACCTATTTTCATTTAGCCCATGTTTTGAAATCCCAAATTGAAGCCTAATGATTCCCAGTGCAACCAAACCCAGGATCAATTAAAATTATTCATCGTCAAGCTTCATTAGTTTCCCTTCACCTAAATCTCATTGATTATGCACAGACCACGATATTTGAAATTCCTCGAACTTCATTCCAGGGCAGGGTGAAACATTTATAATATCTTAATAAAAGGTAATCAGGGTTTAAAAAATTTTCAACAGCCATGCCCAGTTTCATTAACTTTTCCATTTTACCCTTTCCTCTAGATTGAAGTTTGTGACTTTCATTTTCTTGATTGTCCTAATCACTATAGAGTATTGAGAAAACAGAGTGGAGTTTTATTCAACAGAATCGCTCCTGTCACCTCGCATGCACTGAAGGTTCCTGTGGTTTGATTTATGCCTGAGTTATTATCATAATAAATGTTACTACAACAGAGAGGAGCGGCTAATAAGAAGCTCTCTTAAAGGACTTTCCACTTTTTCTAAGGCCATTTCATCTCTCATTCAGAGGCCCTTCCCAGAGAGTTTTTCTCTTTGCAAGAGCATCCATATAGTTTTCCAAACCTGACATACTTCAAACAGTCATGGAAGCAGCGAGCAGAATGAGAAAGAGAAAGTGGTATGGTGCAGCTGGTAGCCTGAGATAAGAATGAAAGTATTGGTCTTCCCCTCTCCTGGCAGCATCATATTTTCCTTATTTGCCTTGAAGTAAACTGAGTGGTTGAAAATGAATCCTACTCATGTTTCAAACTATTTCAATATGTCAGTGTACTACTAATGAGCAATTTTATATGATGTTATACATGAAGGACAGGTATCATCTCACTATATGTTCAACATAGGGGTATTATGTTTCCTCTTATGCAAATTGGGAGCTAGAAGAGTCGTACAGTGTAAATAAGTGGATGCATTGAGAACCTGTTATTGAAGTTACCAAGTATTTTAAAAACCAACAAATTACCATGTAACATGCAGCTCTTAGATCTTATGACAAGGCTTTAGCTTCAAAGACAGAAATAACGAGATAGTTACCCTGTGATTACATGGTACTGTAGCTTCCATATACTTACATGGTCAGTAGTTACAATTTAATTGCAGAGTTAGTGGTGGTTATTTATTCTCAGAAAAATAAAGTGATACTTTTTTTAATGTATCAAAAATAAGAACCTTCTAAAAATAGCACTGATTTTAAACTGTTTTGACAACTGGCGTATCTGACATGGTTTTATCTTGCTTACTGCACCCCTTTCTTCTGCTCTCCCCATTATTCCAACTGATTTGTGAAACAGAATTGGTATGTTTTTGGCAGGCCTGCTTTGAGAGGGAAAAAGATGATATCTGCCTGACTGGGGGTGAAGGGTAGGATAGAGATCTCAAGGGAACCTATCGCCATGTGCAGAGCATAGTAAAGAAATAGTAAAATAATTTACAAGATATGCAGCAATATTTGCTCATGTTTTGTGATAGCAAGTGAGATCTAGATACATTATTTCCATTTTCTAAACTGTCAGCTTGAGAGAGTCAGAGTTCTGTATCTCTCTGATGAGGTGCTGGTCACGATGGCACAGTGGGTGTTCAGATTACATGTTTAAAATTAAGCTTTTAGGGTAGTTGACATCTGTTCAGTTTTAGGAACTTGTGTTTTCCAATAGTCAAAGAATAAAGAATTGTCTGTTCAAAGATAATATTGAGTGGCTTCTATAATAAAGCCCAGCTGCTTGTTTCCTGATATATAATCTAAATAAAAGCTCACATGTGTTTACATTACAGTGGGTCTGCAAAAATAACAGATGTTTACTAGCAGAATACTTTTGAAATGACAACAAATAAGGAAACAGGTCAGAAAAATAAATGAATCACATTTAGTTTAATGAAAACCCTTGCGTACATTGAAGTTGTATGAATTTAAAAAGAATTGTTAGAACAAAGACCTATTTGAAATATTTTAAAGTAAACATGAAGTTTATAATTTAAAAAGTCTTAAAATGAGTATTTTTTTACTTTTAAGAGAAGAAATCTGTGTGCCTAAAGTTACTTTTATTTTCTAATTTATCTCTAAAGGGTAGCTATTGAAGAAATTGGTTTTTCATATTTTGAAGAATATGAGAAATCATTTTGATCATGTTGTAGTAAGAACTCACCCATTTCCGTGGGCAAAGTTAGTGTAAATCATTCATGCTAGTCACTATCAACTGGAGTCAGTTTTGCTTAAATTTACATGCAACACAAAAGGTATAAGAGAATCAGACATTCAAACTCCTTTCTTAGTTTAAAAAGTATTCATCGAAACACACAACAAAGAAAGCATAAAAAACTATAATTTTGCCGCTTCATCATTAATTTTGTAATTTCTTTTTTCTTAAAAAGTTTAGATGCACACCTTATTAGGAAATCAGAAGCCAGTGGCCAAAGTCCCCTCCAGTTTGAGCTCGACTCGGACATTTTAATGCCCAAGTTTCTTACCCAAAGAATACAAATTCTACTCATTTATAAATGCCATTTGAAAATCAGTAGATAATGACTATAAATTATTATTGTTTCGATGGCTGCAGAAGATATTAGTAATCAAAGAAACTACCAGAAGAGTAATACATAAAGAAAATACTAATGGGAGTGTCTGCATAAGAAATGATCACTTTTGGTATAAGAGAACAGCAGATTTTTTTTTTTTTTTTTTTTTTTACATGACATTTGCCTGACAAATACAGATAGTGGGCAAAGCAGAAATTTTAAGTAAAAGATAATCACTTGGAATATAATAGGAAATTTTACTAGTTTAACTTCTGATATATTAACATAATCAAGATAATGCTTGAAGAATGCGTTCTAATCTTCCTATTTCAAATAATCATTTGATCTGATTTAAAGAAAATGGGGTGAAACTACTGGCATACCTCCCTGAGAGTACGTGTTACCTGATTAATGTTTGTAAATCACTTGAGGCCACCCTCTTCTTTCTGCCTGTTCCCCTTGGCCTTGGCCATTGTTAGTTCTTCCTCTGCAGTCAGAAAATTTGGCACACAGAAGAGATCTGTACAGGGGTGGAAAGGAATGAAAATATGACTCTTTAAAAGTACAAGGTGCCATAAAAATACTAAGAAATGATGATAATATGTGCCTAGGCTTTAAAAAATCTTGTAAACTCAGACTATTGTGATATCTGCTTCTAGTATTGTTATTTAAATACCATAGGCAAAATAGCCTAATGTAATGATCTTCGATAGCTACCCATTCCCCTTGGTTTCAAGAATGTTCCTAAGAATGCAGTATGCAAGTTTATTTTTACTCCTGTCACTTCATTATAATGTGAAATCTGAAACATTTATAAAATTACCTCAATGATACTAATAGGCTCAGAAAAATATACCTACTGAAATGATTCAAATAGATTTTAATTTTAGAAGAATCAGTCCACTATCTTAAACAAGCTACCATGGTTTTTTCAGCAACTACAAAGCTAGTTGTTTAAAAATAAATTTTAAACCCTAGGCTAGGTATAGGTAAATCAAGGCTATGCTAGGCTAAATGTTTGTGATCTGGATTTGCACTAGAATGTCTAGTCTCATAATTGAAATAAAACATCTGTTCCTTTGTCAATAAGGATGTTTTACATCTTATCAAAAATCTTTGTTGGTCTTCTAGTGTGTCAAACTCTTTAGCTATTTCCTTTCAGCCTGAACTAATTAGGTTCATAGGAAGCAAACTGACATTTTAGAAGATGTAATTCTATGGTTTAACGTTTGGTGGCTTTGCCAGGGTGAAAGATGTTCCTTCTCGATCCAGATGTGGCATTATTTCTGCTGGGCTCTTCGTTACGATCTCTGGACCATTCTGCCTCCTAAGTTAGCCCAGGAGATTCTAGCAGAAGTGCTGGAGAAATCTTTGGGTCTACTGGCCTCCAGATACACTCGGGCCCACCCCAGCTGCAAAAGAACTCCACAGTTAAGGTAACTGAAGTTCTGAAAAACATTGCTTTTCAAGAAAACTTTTCATTAGTTGGGTATAAAGCAGAATTCTGAATCTCATGACATACTCCTTATATATTTAACATGTTTCTAACATCTGAAAAGAAATCATATTCCATTCTCCTGAGTTATTTAGGTGGAAATATGAAACCTGAATCGAAATAAATTTGTTCTTTTTATTCCTTAAAATTGTCTATAGAATCCACTTGTTTCTAAAAAAATGATTCAAGGTGTCTTATAATCGAGGATATAGATACACAAATGTTAATAAGATAAAAATAGAAAATTAAGGCCCTGAAATTGATACCAAAGCATCCATGCTGTGATGGAGCAGTCAGTTTGACACATTTGATTTTGAACTTCTAGGCAACCAGGGGATTTTAGTTGTTTTTTGTTAACCCTTTAAATATAGAAGCTTATCTTCATTAAGAAAACCTAATTATTTTCTTCCTAATATATTCTAATTATTTTTTCCTTTTATTTTCACTATTTGTTACTAACAGCCAGTTCAACAAAATGTGAAATCACAGAAAATGAGGAGCAACAGTCACTGAGTATTAAATAAGACTGAATTATAGTACAATTCTATGAGTTCTCTAGGCAATGAATGTATGAATTGTGCTTACATCACTACAATGGTCTTGTATGTATATGAAGAAAAGGCTTTTGTTTTGTAAATATTCTGTATAATGTGATTCAGACCTTTTAGGCAGAATAATCTTTTTTCAGATGTATTTTAGGAGGAACCTACGGACATGGGAGTCTTTTTTTTTTTTTTTTTTTGGCAGGAGGAATCATTTCCTGATCATGTTCTTGTAAAGCGTGCTGCAATTTGAAGGGCATTTAGGTCCTGCTGCAGTGTTTCATAAATATGGTATTTTGCACAGGCTGTTTTGAATTACTGACTAGACTTTTTTAAAAAATTGAACTAAGAATAGATGGAAAATTCCTTTTGAAAGCAAAGAATACCTTCGTTCTTTTCCTTATATAGCATAAATCACTTTTGATTATGAAATGGCAAGTCATTATGTGAAATCAGCTTTACTGTTAGCTCATGAAATAAGTAGAAATGGGTAGTATATTTAATTAATTAACTGTAGAATAGAGACTTTTGGTTTTTATTTTCTGGGTGGTTGCATAAAAATGCCATGCAATGTTAGAATTATTGCTTCTAGTTTTTGTAAGTAAAATATATAAATATTTTTATTTGACTGGCTACTCCTAAACTACCATTATTATGGAAATCAGATTGTGTATGTGTGTTTCTACATATATATTGGATTAGAAATTGTTTATCTAGCAATTAGAAAAAGCATATACAAACTAAAATTAAACCTTTATAAAGACTATTATTGATTCTTTTAATATTCCAGTAGCCTTCAAATGTCACATAACTAAGCCATATATATGATTTACATATGTGTCATATATTATTAATATGTAATATTTATTATATAATAAATTTGAAGCCAAAATGTCATTTTAAAAGATCCTCAAACTTGTATTTTTCTTATCACTTCAAAATTTTCATCTTCTGTTTCTTCAACCCTGAATTTAAAACAAAACAACCAAAAAAAGGAAACTAACTTAGGTCTGTTCAATTTAGTTATGTGCCAAAATAATAATTAAAGAGATCTTTGGGTCCCTATTAAAACTCAAGAAAAATGGAAACAAAGAAATAAGTCTATGAATAAGATAAATAATACAGCATATTTTCCACAAATTTATTTAATATTAAACATTTCTGAAACTATAGGCTTCTCTATTTGAGCTTCGTTTGTCATTTCTTCTTATCTCCCACTTGCTGGGAGAACATGCTACCAATCTTGTAACTTTTTTTTGACAGTTTGCTCATGAGTGAGGAGAATTGTTCTGCCATGAAATTTTAACCTATCATACACACATATGGAAAATAGCAAATTTTTCTTTTCATCTAGCTTCTCTTTGACTCAGTGTAATTTCCGGGATGATCTCTTGAGTTTCTTGAACAGAATCCTAATAATGTAAAATAAACATTTTTTAAAAGCACTCCTAAAACGCTATTACAGAGCTCACCATCCCTAAAGATAATGGTATTGTGGGTCATCTAACACCTAGAAATTCAAAGAGTATCTATCTTTGATACTTTCTATTTGGTTTAGATCTCTGAAGCTCTGGTATCTAACTGAATTCTTCTATTCTTACATATGCTTAGTACAAGAGATATGAATTAAAGTGCCTACCAAGCAGAAACATTATTTTGTTTAACATGATTTTCTCTTCTTTCTTTCCAACAGACTTGATGTCACAACCATTTTGATATGCACTGAGAACATGTTTTGGTCCGTTTGTACATCTGTACAGAAACTTTTGAATCCTCATCAGCATACAGATGATAAAATTTTTAAAATTCATACCCATTGTAATAATCTGTTTACAACATTAGTCATTTTGACTTCACCATTAACAGAATTGTATAAGTAAGTATCAAATGTATTTTCCTTTTAGCTATTATGATATATAATAATGTGATTAACAAGTTATTTCCATAACACTTATTGAATTATGTGAAGTAGAAATCTTTAGAAGTGCATTTTTGATACTGTGAACTGGGCCATTTTATAAAACTAACACCAACCAATAGAGTTTCATAATTCTCAATGCAATTCAGTGCCCGAAAATGTGTTATGTCTCTATTGGTCAACCCCATTCAGCTGATAAAGCTCTAATATAATCAGGAACATTTTTAGCTTCACTATTTGGGTTGTTTAAATGATCAAATTATATTGATGGCCTGATAATCACAGTGATTTTTTGATACTTTATGAAAAAGAAAACTATATTTGAGATATACCTCAGCTAGCAATGGCAAATGGAAATAGAAATAATAATTACATTTTTAAAATGTGGAAATATTTTACTTAGCTCAACAAATAAGATTTAGAAAAATCTAGAAATGTGGAATTACTTTGATTTCTGGTTAATGCAGTTCAAATCTGTAATGTTATAGAGGAGGTTAGAATATGTCTTATCATAAAACATTAATATCATTTTGTTTATATCCTCCTCCAAAATTGTCACTTTTATTTTTTAACCAAATAATTATATCTTCATGGGTAGTAAAAATTTCACATGTCTATTTCTAAGGATAAATCAGGTCAAGTGTTTCTTTGCATAACATTCTGGTAAAAGCGATATACAAATCTTAATTTTTAATAAATTTTGACACATTTGTATTAGATATTCTAAAAGAATTAACAGCTTTTATTTCGGCTTCACCTACTCTGACTTTCAATAAACCTATTGTTTCCAGAGTGTTCCTTCTAGCAACACACGTTGAGAACTACTTTTAGAAATGGAGAATTCTTTCAGAAAGGGGAAGAAACAGTGAGATAAATCACCATACGGTTGATATTATGTACATAATGTTTCATAATCATAAAAAGCTCAAGTCTGAAGCCCATAATAAATCCTAGGAAACTAAACTGATTTACCATAGATGAAAAAATTGCTATGCTCTCAGTTCAATGGGTCATTTCATCTAAGAGGAAGGCCCTGTGAAAATCGGGAACAAAGTTGACAAATTTCATGGATTGGTCATGGTGAGCAATATTGAATTTCATGCTTTGTCACAGATGAATTGATAAATTTTAGCCCCCCAATGCATTTGTAAAACAAATAAATTATTACCAAAGATTGCATATTTTAATAATAATGTAACATACATTCATTATTGTTAACCTATGGCTTTTTGATACATTTTTAACAACTATGCAAGTACTCAAATCTCTATGATTTGTGCATTAGATATTGCACTGTAACCTCATTCAGCAAATTTAAATTGCTAATTTCAACCAGGATTACAGAACATTTTGCGCTAAGCACTGCCTCTGGTTTTTCTTAATATAAAACATAGATAGCTATATTGCTTTGAAGCATGAACAAAAATCTAGATATACTTTAATTCTTTTAAAATATTTCTCAGTTCAAAAAATTTCAAAAGTTTTATCCATTTATGTTTACTTAAATGTCATGATTGTTTTCCTAGACTACATATCTAATCTTTGAAATATACTTTGTTTTGTATTGACAAATGAAATCTACAGGGCAGCATGTTCTTTGCCAATTAGGGAAAAATATATTTGTGTGTTGCAAGAACTCTATAGACTTATTGGGCTTTTTTACACATCCAAGATATGAATCCATCATACTATTAGCATATTAGAAAAAATTGTGAATCTCACATTAAAAAATTAAACCCATTCTTTGAGGAATTGGTGAAAAGTAGCAATCAGATGTTAATAGTATTGAATTTTTATAAACGGTACCTGACATTTGTCACTCTACGTGATATGCCCTTTTAGACGGTGACTGCCTTTATTTCAAGTAGTTCTGACAGATGAACTGAATGTGTTTTCCTTTCTGAACTTAGCGTAGGACCACGAAATCCCTGGACAGGAATACATGATTTTAAAGTCTTTTCAGGAAGAAGGAAACCTGTTTGCAAAAATATATGTTCTTTTTTAACTCGCCTTTATAGATTTCTGTTAGAATGTTGTAAAAGGAGTACTTCAGCTTTGTTCTCCAGGGAAAGGAACATGCTGAAACAGAAAATATTCACCATGTATTTTCCAAAGTGCTTATCACTTATATTTCTTTCATAAAGGCAGTTAAACTGCAGGTTCCGAAGCATATTCACATACATGTTCATACACATCCCCACCCAGTGATTTCATATGTTGCATTTTGGATGCGTAGACTTTAGTTTTAGTTCATGTGTAGCAGGTTAAAAATTAATTACTAGAATTTTTGGGTAAATGCAATTCAGTTTCAATTCGACAAATGTTGTTGCCTCTCTAGCCCCTATGATTAAAGATAAGGGATGCAACAATGAACCAGATTTAATATCTGCCACAAGTAATTTAAGAAAAGATGATGATATTTTTTATTTTAAATTAAAATAATATTGTCCTCCCTAAATCTATAATAAAAGGTAGAATTAGATAATGAATTTCATATGTATATCTAATGTCTATGTCTATATTTATCCAAATGTTTTGATGTGTTATACCAAAACTCCTAATAGTAGAAACTTTTTGAAAGCTGGCTATTTCAACATTTAATAAGATGGAAGTGTGGGATTTCAATACAACTGCCAACAAGTCATGCAAAAGATAGGGTCATCAGAAATATACCCAAAGGTAGATCACTAAGCCAAGGAATAGCAGCCTCATCTTGGGGTCCATTTGTTGTCACTCATAAGGCTTTTTTAGTCACCAAATTCCAATGCTCTGTCTATAGTTCTGTTTCAAACTAATGTTAGGGCTTTCGAGGTTATGGCCTTACCCTTTGTTTAAAAAGAAACTATTTCACTGTCTCTCAGAAAATAAAATAGGCCTTTGCTTTTCCTACCTCAGGAATGACTGGCACACCTTGGAAAATAGGCAGGTCCTCAAGTTAAGCATAGAATATGCTTATGTGAAATGTTGAGCATATGGTCATATGGCCCAACAATGAAAGTATTATGTCCACACAAAAATTTGTGTAGGAGTGTTCAAAATGTTATGTCCGTACAAAAATTTATGTTTCAGAATTTTTCAAAATAACACAATGAGAAAGCAGCCAAATGTCCATCAACTAGTGAATGGATACATAAAATGTGGCATATCCATACAGTGGAATATTATTCCGCAATAAAGAGGAATAAAGTGCTAATATGTGCTGCCACAGGGATGAACCTCAAAAACATGCTAAGTGAAAACAGCCAGACACAAGAGCCCACATATTGTTTGATTCTATTTATTAGAAATGTCCAGAATAGGCTTATCCGTAGAGACAGAGAGTAGATCAGTGGTTACCAGAGGGTGAGGGGAGGAGGGAATGGGGAGTAACTGCTAATGGATACAGAGTTTCATTTGGGAATAAAATATTCTAAAATTAGATACTGATGAAGGTTATGCAGCTGCATAGTATAACCATCTATATAGTATATATATAGTATAAACCATCTATATACTTTAAATGGGTAAATCTTATGGTATATGAATTATACATCTCAATAAAGTTGTGAATATGAATATAGACTGAATGGAAATTTAAACATACTTAAAATGATTTTTTTTTAAAAGGTATCTGGCAGAATGCAAAATTTTCCAGAAAGTGAAGTTTCTTGTCTTAGTCATTTTGTTTAGGTTTAATGACTCCCTTTATCCACCTTCCTGTAAACATTATTTTAAAAGGGAAATCTCATTTTTAAAAAAACACAAAATTAAACAGCTTTATGTGTCATCCTAATAAGGTTAAAATACTCCAAAAGAGCCAGTCATTAAATTTAGAGAGGGCTGCTCCCAGAATATTCGACTGGCTGACTCCTGGTGTACCCCGAGGTCCAGTCTTTCTCTCTCTCCACCTCCTGTCCTCAACCTGCCCGTTGGCTGTCTACCACCCACAATTGCTCTTCACAGATGGCCCTTAAAACTCATCCTCCTTTTAACTAAGCAAGGTCTGGTAATACCTTTTATTCATTCTTTCTTTCTTTTGCCATGTATTTACCATGTATCTACTATGGGCCAGTTATTCTCTAACCTCCAGTTATCATTTGCTAACCTCAAAGAGTTATTTTCATCATGAGAAATTCAAGGCACTTAAATGTCACTTAATGACATTTAGGCAACAACTTATAGTCTCGGGTATAATGCCGGTTTTTGAAAGCGAAGCAGCGACTTAGAATTCTGTTTAAAATCTTGAATTCAGTATTCATAGGTAGTTGTCTGTGATTCTAGGGCCATCAGAAAGGTTCACATGTCCTCAGTTATCTTGAGCTTTCCAGGGCTATCTTAGTTATTCAGTTTCACATTAATTCTGCCTTGTCTAAGGTTGTGGTCTTCTATTGGTATGATTTATTGCACGCCTCCAGTGGCCCAGGCACCATGGCAGGCACAGATGACTCAAGAAATCTAACCTGACCCTCCACTCGCATAGAGCTTACATCCTTGGGCTACCTTAATTCAGTCATGGAGGTTTATTCCATTAATATCATATTATGAGACCTGTTTCTCCTGCGGGGGCAGCCAAAACAACATGACACAAGAGAAGCATAAAACCCAGCTAACTCTTTTTAGCTCATCAGTTCTTCTCACTTTTGATGTGTATTGGTTTTTATCTCCTTTCAGCATCTGGCTAAATAAACCCAAAGACCTGATCAGTTTTGTTAAAGAAAAAAGGAATTCTGGCAACATAGGTGTAGATCAGAGAACCCAGAGAGAGTGAATCTAGGACAGAGTGCTGGTGTGGTCAGCAAAGAGGCAGTATAATGCTAAGGCAAGGAAGGGGCATGGCTAGTTGGGGTGGGAGGAAGGGCAAAGGCAAGGAATTTTCCCCAAATCACTCTTTTGCCCTTAAGTAAAGTCATCTTTACAGTGTGTCATTTGGGAATGTGAAGAAATGTACCTGCTTCAAACTTATGACATTTATTTTTACGAAAGTATTTAAATTTGCTGTATCAAAATTCTCTTATGTCTTATGAAAAATATAATTCTATGGCTCATACAATTGTATTTTACTCTCCACTATGAATTATTTAGAGCATCCTCTCTTTTAACTGTATACCAAAACATCATTAGAGGTTATCTAATAGCTAGCTCATAATTTCATTCTCCCATTGAGGCTTGTGGGCCAATTTTCACCCTGTTATACTCTCTAGAATAATGAAACTAATTTGGGATCTTGCTGTGGAATTAAATGCTCATACAGATCTCACTCCCTTTGAGACCATAAACATCTGCCATAATATCTCTTATAGCCAAATAACCTTACTATAACCAGTATGACTGAGAAACTGTCAGTGGAGTAAAAGAGTTTAGGTACTGGCAGAAATGCTAAGATAAATATCATATTGCCAATGGTTTGTCATCTAAGAAATTTATGTACTAAATAACCATGCCATTATTTTTAGATCCTCCTTTATTTTGTCTAGTTGTGAGAATAAAACTGCAGCTAGGCAACCACTTAGACTATCAGAAATTTCATGTCAGTTTTGAAATGGCCATAGACTTTTTTAAGGACAATTTCTACCGATTGTTATCTTATAATGATAACTTACTTATATTGAGCACTTATTGTGTACAAGGCACTTTCCTAAATGCTTTAAATACATTATTCTACTTAATGTTCACACTGACTCTGAGGGGATTTACTATTTTAATCCCCATTTTACAAATGAGAAAACTAAGGCTAAATATACTGCCACCAGCATTGCCTGTTAATAAAAGCATATTCAGGATATAAGCCCAGGCTCTCTGGCTCCGGTTCCTGCATGTGCCCATACACTACCTCTATATAACTTTTGATGACCTTACCCTTAGGGTATGGAGCAGATAAAAAAGTAAATGCAAAGGCATTGGAGGTAGAGTTAAATCCTATAAAGAAACAAACCAAAATTAGAGCATAGAGAGGGGATAAGGTTGTGAAAGCGTAGTCAGAGAAGACTTAGTAGAGAAGCTTCAGAGGTAGAGCAATCTATGGAGCTACCTGAACATGATAGAGAAGTCATCTAGATAAGGTATTCATTCTTAGAGAAATGAGGTAACCCTCAGACAACTGGACAAATAGGGATTTTATGCAAAGAGATCAAGGAGGTGTGAGGGAAAGTAGGCATAGGCTATGAAAAAGGCTACAAAGATATGTAGTATCTTTGTCTACATTCTCCAGTCTCTCCTGCTCTCTCATCACCCATCCTTTTCTCTGAGTCTTTGAGTCTCTCTCTTCCTTTGAGACTGCCTTTCTCTCCAGGCCACTTGCTGCATCTCCTGTCACATTGTACCAGCACCCTCCTTTTCCTAGCTCTCTTGCAGTGGCGTGGTCCTCCTCATACCCTCACTTTCTTGGGCTCTATCCAGACTCTGGTACACTTTCAGAGAATATCACCCACCTCTCCTTTTATACCTTTTGACAATACCACTCTTTGCCAAATCTTGGGTAACTCCTTTTTTCATCCTTCCCCACTTGGGTCAAGCCCCTGATCGTTGCCCCATGTGTTTGTTAGCAGATAGCCTTGTTCCTGTGCTTCTCTAAGAAAATCCACACCATCATGAATGCACTTTAACTTCTCATTTCTGTTCTTAATAATTATTCTCACCACTCACCTCTACATCCTTTGATTACTCTCTGATCGATATGTCTATTTTCCCAATTAGAGTAAATCTTTTTACCTGACCTCTTAATTGCATTTACCTCCTACTCATGGCCTTTTAAATATTCTTTCTATCTTGTCTTGTGGCTCCTTCCCCCAAACATGTCCTATATTAAAAAATGTTCCTCCATTACTATTATGTTTCCCTCCCAAAACAGTTTTCATTCATTGTCTACTTTTATACCTACCACTCACTCAGTGCACTGCAATTGGACTTCTACCCTCAGCATGCTAAGCTAGCAACATGGGCAGGGTCCTCCATACACTCCCGATTGCTAACTCCAGTGGATTCGGTCATTTTCTCTTCTCTTGGCTTCTCTAATACCACTTTCTCCCGTGTCTTGGCCTACTTCTCTGATTATTCCTTCTTGGTTTTGCTAGAATGTTTCTTTTTCTGGCCTTGCCCTTTAAGTGTGGGTATGTTCCAGAGTTTTATCTTTGATCGTCTTTACATATTACATTCCTTTTTTGTTTTTTGGTGGGGGATGGAGTGAGGGGGTGTGAATTCATCCATTGCTATGGCTATACCATTATGTTGATGACTTCCACATTGGTGTCTTCAAACCAGACAGCTCTTGTATGTGCTGTATCAGTAAATCCAAATTACTATTCAATGCCTTGGATGTACTTCAGATGTCTGTAGCCCCCTTAACATATCTAAAACTAAGTAAAATACTTGAAATGTATCCTAGGCTTCTTCATTTTTCTTAATTTTCTCCTTCTATCTTCCCACTCATACCATCACCAACTCCATGTCATTAGGAGATGAATATTGTTTGTTCTATGAATTTAACAAGTTTTATATTTGTCTCCTACTTACTATCTCCTGTCTCTTACCTTGGTTCAGTATCTTATCCTCTCTGACCTGTCTACTACAATATTGCCTTCATTATCTCCCTCCCTCCTGCCTGACTCTTTCCAATCTGCTCCCCTCACTACTGCTAAAGTGATTTTTCTAGGATGTAAAACTGCTAGGGTTAATCCCATGCCATAAACTCTTCAATGGTTCGTTATTGCCAGTACTAAGTCCAAACTCCTTAGAAAAACATATCCTGGTACCTGGTCTGGCTTCTGCCTACTTCTCTAGCTCACATAGTGGAATACGTGAGATGGAAATATTACAGCCTGACTTTGAAGCCTATTTAAGGAATTTCTATTTTGATCTGAGATTTACTGAGAAAAAAAAGCCTTTTAAAGAAGAGATGATATATTAAAGTCTAAAAAACATCCAAGTCTATTTAATTAGAAGATGTTCTATTTAGCAAGACAATCAGGGGGAAAGAAGGGTCAAATTTGAAAAAAACATGAAGACACAAGAAGCAAGATGTGGAGTGAAAAGATAAAGGTGGATTTTCAAAATGGAATTCTGTTCTGGATATCAAAAGACACTATTGCTCCTGTACTGTATATAAAGAGAGCTGGTACCACCTCAAAAATTCCATTTCTAGAGCATTCTCAGTCACTGCTCATAACTCTGTGTAGGAAAATATAACCTCCTGTTGTTATACATTTTTTACTAGCCAAGTTATCTGCTAAAGATTTTATGTAACAAATTCTTTTCTATTGTGTCAAGATTTAGAGTTGAATTTGAGCCAGCCTAGAAAAATGTTGCAGTAACCGTTGATAGTTGTACATCAGATATTCGGGTTGCATTGTTTTAATTTTGAAATTATAATTATGTATTTTACAACTAAATTCTTCTTTATAAACCCTCTCTAGACCCTTAGGAGTATACAAAATTAATTATAAATTCTGATTAATTATTTAATACTTATAAATCACTTTAAAGATTAAAAAGAGGTACCATGATGCTAAAATTTTTACATTAGTGAAGCAAACACTGGCATTTATTGGATCCAGGTTGAAGAAGATAACAATGGTATATAAAAATACTACTCATGGGAAACATAAGTAATATTCATTGTACTATTCTTTATCCTTTTGTCATGACAAATTGTATAACATGAGATTTTAAAAAATTAAATGATAATGGTATTGTTACACCTTCCCCAAGTGTAAGGATTGGTTTTGTAGAGGTTCATAAAAATTCTAAGTCTTAACTTGTGGTTTTTCATGGCTGTGCTGACTTGCCCACCTGGCCCTGAGTCACCTATTAACATAAATCCCAAGCGGATGAAGTGGGGGCATTGTCCATTCTAGCACAATACCGTTTTGTGTAAAAATCATTAACTCAGCCAGGCACAGTGGCTCATGCCTGTAATCCCAGCACTTTGGGAGGCTGAGATGGGCGGATTGCCTGAGCTCAGGAGTTCAAGATCAACCTGGGCAACATGTTGAACCTCCGTCTCTACTAAAATACAAAAAAAAAAAAGAAAAAAGAAAAATTAGCCAGGCATGGCAGCATGTGCCTGTAACCCCAGGTACTTGGGAGGCTGAAGCAGGAGAATCACTTGACTCTGGGAGGCAGAGGTTGCAGTGAGCTGGAATTGTGCCACTACACTCCAGACTGGGCAACAGAGCAAGACTCTGTCTCCAAAGAAAGAAACAAACAAAAAAAATCATTAACTGAATCCTAAGTAAAAATCAAAAGTTATTTCAATCGTCATAGTTAATGTTTCCTGTATATTCTAAACTAATGATTTGTATTTCCCTAGGACTTTTCAGCATGGCCTGGATGAGTCAACTTCAGATTCCTTAAAATCATGTTTTAAGCAACCATTATATTGGGTTTCTTGCATATCACATTTCTACCCTTCTTTACTCAGGTGAGAGCCTCTAAATGCTATACTATCTGTAATTCTATGATTCCTTTTAAAATTTAATAGAAATTTTTATCTGTGGATATAAATTAACTTATATCTTACAAAAAGAACTTACAACTTTTCACAATTGGCAGGTAAGTAAAGAGTATTATTTCTCTTTTCTTAGCTCAAGAAGCAAAGGCATAGGCCTCATAATTCTACTAGCTTATAGCTTTAGTGATGTAATGGAAAACTGTAAAGTTTTGGAATTTAGTTTTATTTTAAAATTTGTCTTTCTTGATATATGACTGGGGATTTGACAGTTCTCAAGCTAATTATCAAACATAGACATGTAACTAACTCAGAGCCTTAGGTAGAAGTTGAGAGAGAAGTAACTTTTCAAATTATGAGTAGGATCTTTCACTTTTATTATTTAATTAACAGCACTTAAAAACAAGAAAAATCATTTAAAGTATGAAATGTGCTTCCAGAGTAATCTGATGGCATTTTGTGGCATTATGTGAAATGGCAGTTTGATTTCTTGCTGAATATAACATTGGAAAGTACCTTTCCTTGGTATCTGAGAATAAAAATATCATGTACAGCTAAAGGAGACATTGTTAATCCCCATACATTCTTGATTCATCTTGGAAATACACTATCAGCTATTTTACCATCTAAGCTGACTCTGTCTCTTGAGGAACAAGATTGTCACCCATAAATAGAAGGTGTGAAAACCTCATATACGAAAGTTTCCATACACACAACAAACTTACACTGTTTGCCTAATGTGTGCCTGTTTCCATATGGGTAATGAAAAATCCAACATTAATGAGACATAGACCCCATCTTCAAGGACCTCAATGTATTGTCATTACTTCATTTACATATAAAACTTTGTCTACATTTCTGATTAATTCCTTATGATTGAGTCCTAGAAATGGAATAGTCTCAAATGCTCTGTCATCTTGTGTGTAAATATATCTTGCCATCTTGCACATAAATATATTTTATTTCATTTGGAATTAAATAGCCAACTCCTTAATACTCATTGTTGCAAAAGTAACAAATGACTGGATCTCTTACAGTGTGAGTCAAGCCAACAAGCTCTGTCATTTGATGAGTTCCTACATTTATAAACATATCTGTTCTCCATGTTATTATCACATTTGCTTTAACCTATTTTACTGCCTGCTTTTATTTTATATCTGGAACCACTGGAGTTATTTTCTTTTAGTTATAAGTCTGTAAGACTTCCACTTCCAAGCTTGCTCAGATCAACCCAGCTAGAGTCCTGGAAATCAGCATGGAAATGGGCTTATCTTTCAAACACTAATTCTTATATTAACTTCTTTCTCTTTCTATATCTACAGCAAGCAAAAATGCACATTTCTTTTCTTTCTGTTCTGTTTAGCAACCGATCCCCACTATTGTCCTAACACGAAGACTAGGACATGGAGATGACTATTCAGCTCATAGTGGAAATGAAATTTTATGCAAATTCATGAGGACAGTTTAGTAATACGTATTAAAAACTTAAAAATATTTTTGCCCTTTTATCTAACAATTCTGTTTCTAGGAATCAACTGTAAGCAATTAATCAGAGAGGTTGACAAAGTTTTATATATGAAGATATCCATCGGAGCATTATTTATAAGAGAAAAAAATGGAAATAAATATTCTACATTGTAGCATTAAACAATTTAGTATGGGATAGTGGCATAATAGACTATTGTGGAGTGATTAAAAGGCTGGGTTTTGGAAAATAATTATATGGGGAAATAATTGTGGTAGATAAGTTAGGGGGAAAATTCAGGTTAGTAATTATGAAATTACCAAAGCCAACCCAGTTTTTAGAGTGATAAGTGTGTACCAGACACAGTGCTCAGCGCTTTACATACATGATCTTTTTAAAACCTCACACTAGTTCTATAAGGTAAGTACTCAGGTGCTTCTTTTATGGAGAGCAAAGTGCTGTATAGGCAGCAATGTTCTGGAGAGAAGAAAATTGGAGGCCAGGCTCTGAACTCAGGCCTGTTCTATTCTAAAGCTTAAGCTCTTGACAACCATACCCCTGCCTTTCAAAGGAAAGAGCAGTTCAGGGTGATGTTAACAGATGTACATGAGAAATCATTCTACTGCACAAATAAGATTGTCAGTTATTAATTATGTAAGGTCTTTTTTGTGATTTAACTTTGTAGGGACTCTGACGTGCTAGTATGTAGTGTTTAGCTCTGCTATGGTCTGAACATGTCCTCCAAAATTCATTTGTTGGAAATATAATCCCCAATGCAACTGTGTTGGGTGGTGGGGTCTAATGGAAGTTATTTATATCATGTGGGTTTTTCTGTCTTAAATGGATTAATATTACCATAAAAAGGGCTTACAGGGATGGGTTCATTTTATCTTGCCCTTTTTCTGCCGCGTGAGGATGCAGCAAGATCACTTCACCAGATGCTGGTGCCTTGATCTTGGACTTCCCTGCCTCCAGAACTGTGAGAAATAACTTTTTCTTCTTTGTAAATTACCCAGTCTGTGTTACTCTTTTATGGCAGCACAAAATGGACTAAGACAGTGTCAAAGGAATGATCTAGTATGCAGATTCCCCAAACTTGCTGGGCGAGAGAACTCGTTTTGCAGAGAATTAGCAATTATTGGAAGGTGGAACATCATTGGGAAGTGTTGAACTATGCTATACTATCATATTTAGAGCGCAAAAAAAGTACATATAGAAAAATAAATATTGAAAGGATGTATAGTGGTGGGTTTATAGTTTTTATCTGTGGGTGGTAGGATTGCAACCAATTTTAATTTTCATCTACATAGTTGTCTATATTTTCCAATTTTTTTATAGTGATTATAATTTAATTTTATTAATTATGAATACTTTTTTTTTTGAGATGGAGTTTCACTCTGTCACCCAGGCTGGAGTCCAATGGCACGATCTTGGATCACTGCAACCTCTGCCTCCCAGGTTCAAGTGATTCTCCTGCCTCAGCCTCCCAAGTAGCTGGGATTACAGGCATGTGCCACCACGCCCGGCTAATTTTTTGTATTTTCAGTAGAGACGGAGTTTCACCATGTTGGCCAGGCTGGTCTTGAACTCCTGACCTCAAGTGATCCACCCACCTTGGCCTCCCAAAGTGCTGGGATTACAGGCATGATCCACTGCGCCCAACCTGTGAATACATTTTTTTTAAAAGCAAAAAGAAAATCTGTTTTCTTTGATTTCTCTTTAATTCACATGGCTTAACCTGTAACCTCTATACAGATGATTTCCAGTTCTACATCTATAGCTCTGAGTGATTACCTATACCCCAACGGTGTATGTCCAGCTGTTCTTATTTCTTGAACACCCGCTTTCTTTCAATGCCATGTCTTCAGATGATCCTTCTTTCCCCTCTTCCCTTGTCCTTCATGCAGGGAGTCTTTTCTATTAGGAGTAACAGTATTGCTACATGCTTCCAAAATAGAATCTTGATTATGATTTCCATGCTGAGCCTTTTCTTCCTCTAGTCCTAGTTTATTATTGTGTTCAGTTCATTCTTCTTCCAAACTTCTCTTAGAATCACCCTTGTCTCTCCACCCCCTTATAACAACCTTAGTCCATTTTACTATTATTTAACATGTTTAAAAGACTGTTTTCATTATGTCTCTTTCTCATTCAGAAACCTGTAGTAGCTTCTGCTTCACCCACACTGTCACTCCTGGCTTGCTTGTTGGAGAGTTTTCTGGCTTATTTCCTGGAGAGTTTTCTCTGCTCCAGTTAAGTCAGTCTCCTCTTGTGTCTTTAAGACTTAGTTATTCCATATTTTTGATATTTAATTTGTTGCTTATTCTCAGCTTCAGGCCTTTGTTTATGCAGTTTCCTTTCTTGGAATACCTTTGGTTCTCTCCTTTGTCTTTCTAAATTCTCCATGCAAGGTATAGTAGGAGGACTCTCACTGATATCCCACCTGCCCATCAGGTGTCATATTTTCAACTAAGTCCATATAATCTGCCTAGAAAGATGTGATCCATGTGATTTGTAATCCAGTGTGCTCAGAGCACTGTACAATCAGAGGAACCCAGGGCAGCAATAAAAGCACTTTTAAAATAACTAAAGTTATTGATTTGCATTTATCAGACATTACAATGGGGATTCCTAGACCACCATTATATGAACTTAAAAATCTCACCTTTCCATTAATTTCCCTCATCTGTATCAGCTGTCTGTGTGAGTCTTTCACCCCAAAATTATCCTTCAAAACTCTATTCTTCACTTTAGCAACTAAAATGAACTGTTCAAGGAAATACGGGAGTTGGATGATGACAAACAAAAAATGTATTAGGCCTATCTTTTGGTAAAGGGGAAGGCTGAGAGGAGAGGTGACTGAAATAGTTAATATCATGAAGGAAGTTAGTAAGTTATTCATCTATTTGCTTACTTATTTGTACCTGCACATTGTTTCAGAAAGAATTTAAGTCAGCATTTAGCAATATTAAATAAACTAAGATAATTAATTAAAAGTGGGTGAGAAGGAAAGAAACAAAAAGGACATGAAATTCAGAATACAAATAGAGTTTAAAATGTAGTATGGACCATAAATTTGTCTATAATCTTACTAGAGAAAAATATGAAATGGATAAAAACACAATTTTTCATGTTCTCCTAGAACCCTGGGAATAGAGTTTAGAAGAGTTTATTTTAGGGAAAATAAATATATTTTCAAAGCAGTGAGTAAAATGTACTATATTCATTGTCCGTAGCAGTGGTATAGGCTAACAATGTGAGTTGATTTAGAAAGGATAATCAGTTTCATACTAGATTAAACTAAGACATGTGGAAAATGTATTAATCTCAAGGTTAATACAGATACCATATTGTGCATTCATAGAAATGTTCAAGAAAGAATGCTGTCCTAGTCAATTATAATATGTTGCATTATAATGTCTTTTATCATTTTGTAAACTTTCCTCTTCATGTGGTTTAAAAAAGTATTTTCAGGTCTTCCTTAGGTAAGCAGGTCATAACTGTACACTGA